TTTATGGAGAGTTTGTGATGAGCAGTGGGTGGTAGTAAAGGAAAACATGTGCATCCAAATATGTGTAGGTGATTGTATTTTGGTGGATGTTTGTATAATAGATGATGTGATGATTTGTTTGAGGTGTTTGGTGAAGGCATGAGGTTGATGAGATATACATTAGTGAGTAGGGTGTCAAGCCATAGATTGTAGGGAAGATGTGTTGTATGAAGTAAGGTTTTTGTGGTTTCGATGATGTGGTGATGCTTGTGTTCAGCTAAACTGCTTTGTTCAGGTGTGTAGGGACAACTTATTTGATGGGAGATACCATGTAGTTGCCAGTGATTTTGTAGGATGTTGTTTAAGAATTCAGTTCCTCCATCGTTGCAGGGGCATTTAATTTTGAGAGAAAGTTGTTTTTCAATTGAAGCATGAAATTTCATAAATGTAGAGGGAACATCTAATTTATGCATAAGAGGCAAAACCCAAGTAAAGCGAGAAAAGTCATCTATAAATATTATGTACTATCTGAAACCTTGAGTAGAGGGAATTGGGGTCGGACCCCATACATCGATGTGTATTAGTTCTAGAGGTTTGCAATGGTGACTAGTAGATCTAGAGAAGAGATGTTTATAACCTTTTGGGGTCTTACATGACGAACAAAACAAAAACGAAAGAGGTATTGCTGGAGATCTATTTTGTTTAGATATTGTAGCTATGACTTGTTGATGTGGATGACCTAGGCAGTGGTGCCAGCGAAGCAAAGTAGGTATGTTGGATGAGAGAGCTTGATATCTTATGTTGTGGATAGAGTGAGTGATCGGATAGATGCCATCACGACATGGTCCTGAGAGAAGGGTTGAGTTTGTCTTCTAATCCTTGATTTGAAAATCAGAAGAGTTGAATAGAATTGAGAGATTATTATAATTTGTAAGCTTAAAGATAAAAAGGATGTTGTGAGATAGTTGAGGGAGATAAAGTATATTGGCAAGCAGAAGCTTACGGGTGGGTGTTGGTAGTAGACCTTGATCGGAGTGAACAATGGGGAGGGTGCTACCGTCTCCAATGGTGCATTGTCTGTTCCATAGTATTCTACTGGTTGGTAGAGGTTGTAGATGTTGTTGGTTAGATTAGAGGAGGCTCCTAAGTCGTGATTCCATTCGAAATTGTTATTTAGTTTAGAAGCGATCAATTTTGTAGATGAATGGTTTGAAGTTGGCCATTGGGTGTTGAGGCGGTACGAGCACACATTTGTGGTGTGACCTCTCTTGCCGCAAATCTGACATAGGGTAGTTGTAGGAGCGGTTTGGCTATAGGATGCAGTTGTTCTTGGGTTGTTGTGCTGATTGAAGCGACCACGATAGGAGAGCTAGTTGAAACGTCCTCAACATCTTCCATGATCGTGAGTAGAGTAAAGAGTGGCGTGCATGGTCAGGATTGCTATCTCTGTTGTCGGATCAGCTGCAATGTTTATTTCTTCACTGAGTAGGAGGGAGTAAAGGTCCTCAAGGCTTATGGGAGTCAACATTGTGTTGATGGACATTTTAAAAGCATGGAGTTGCGGAGGTAACCTATTTAGCACGTACAATAGGATGTCTTCGGCATCTATTGTGGAGCAAGTTGTGGCAATGTTGTCGACCAAGGTTTTGACGGTTGTGAGGTATTGAATCAGGACATTTCCATTAAAGTTCATTTAAGGTTCTCTTGAATCCCCAATATTGACCATTTTATTGTCTAAAGTTCAATTGATTTTAGAATGATATAATTGGGCTACCACCACATTGTAAATAATATAATAATACAATTACAAATCAACAAAGTAGAAAGTAATTTGTGATGGTACTATTGTGGTAATTTTTAATGTAGTCCTAGTATTTTAAATTTACAAGATCACATATTCCTAGAAAAAGTAGGATAAGAGCCCACACCAAATGCCCTAATATAGAGTTATGCCTATTTAGAAAAAACTCGAGGTCTTCCATAGCAAAATTTTTTACAAGGCACAAAGACATGCCTCAAGCTAGAGAATTTTTTTATTGGTTTTTTAGACTGACGCACAAACTCAAATGCTTGGAATCTAATTAGTCCAAAACAGAAGTTGGGCATGAGAAAAAACAAGGTGAATTTTGTTTTGATTTTTCAAAACATTCATATATATTGGCCAATATCCTTATATTAATTCATACTAAAAGATAAGAATCTAAACCTATTGTAGATGCACCAAACATGAATAAGATTCATCCAACTCACCAATCTAAAATCAATTGCATGCTAAGCATACATCATTACCATTACTAACCTTATTCTAATTATGTGTTTGATTTTATGAATCCTCCACCTCTGATTCTAGCTGAGTAATACATACATGTATATGTAAAATAGACCGCAATGTAATTTCTTAGCATGACTTTCTCACTTAACCTTTCAGCTCATTATTCTAGTACCTCCAAATATTATTGAAAAGACAAAGAAGATTTCGATTATTTTGCTGTAGAATGCAATGAGAAGTAACAATGCAAATATGTGAGCTAGCATGACAGATACATTAAAACAATGTTGTCTTACATATTTTTTCTCACTATAAGAAAGGAACATAAAAATAATATTGTATGAATACTTGTTTCTTGCTTTCACAATATAATCATTAAAGATCAATTTTTAGCGTGGTTTACAAGGATATCAGTTTAATTTGCTCAAATTTGTTTGCCGCTTTTGCATGTCTATGGAACATCATTGGTCTTATCTTAACAACATGGGATCCACTTAATAATCCTAGTTTCATTCATTTTTGTTGATTACTCTGTATTTTGAGCAAATATATTTGCACAATCTCTTGCCAATGTTATATTTTGCCTGCCCCTTTTCATCCTTGATCCTTCCCTTCAAAGTTTATATACTTATCTTAATAGTACATCTTTTATCCTTTGAAATGCATTCTCAAGCCACCAAGTCTATTTTTCATTGACTTATATTCAATAGGTGCTACTCTCATTGTCTCTCTACTATAATTATCACGCAATCTAACTTCCTATTTCTAACATACATTCATCTTAATATTGTTATTTACGCCATTCAACTTGGCTACATGCGACTTCTTTATCAACCAGAGCGCACACTAATAATAACATACTAGATACCTTCAAGTTTTCAAGATGATCTCTTATTGAATAGTATTCCTGAAGCACTTTTACATTTTAACCACAAATATTTTGCTCTAGAAGATGAAATCCACACATGCATTCCTATTCTTTTATAATAAACCAAAGATATTTGAACCCGTCACATCTAGTCATCATATGAACTTCCAAAGATATTGATTGATCAATTTTTAATCTCACTAAAATTGCATAATATACTTGATCTTACTTCTAATCATCAGTCCCGTATCTTGTAAGTTTTATTTTTAGTTTCTAAACTTTTATGTATTCCAACAAAGTTCTCATCTATTAGAATTAGTCATCTACTAATGACATAAACCAAGATGCCACATTCTATCCTTTGTAAGCTTTCATTTCACATGGAAAGAAAGTGATCACAAAAAACTATACATATTATAAGCAATTCTCCAAAGACAAAAATAATTGAAAAATAAATTTGAGACTTTCCCATATTGATCCCATCGTTAAGAATCAAGGACAACAAAACTTAGTTCTTACTTTGTGTTCATCAATTTTACAATTCAACTGACAATAGAATACAACAAATCAACACCTAAGGATACATTCAAAGCTTGCCCATACACAGTGATGTACTAAAACGATATCTTTTAAAAGGCAATAGATATAAAAGCAGGCATATTGCCATCTATGACAAGTGCATGCATAAATTTTATTCTTTAAAGAATATAAATATATAATATCAATGCAACTATAAACATTATTTTGAAAAATTAGCCTTCAAAAGTGTATAGACTTTAGGATCTTAAAAGTGCATTCAAGAGGTATTTATGGGACAATTAACTTTTAAGACAACAGCACTATACAAATTAATTAAACATTGTAAAAATAAATGCATCATGGCCCCTCACTCAGAAGTGTTATCTTGAAAATATGATGCAATGCTGAGACTCGATGATTGTAAAATTTTGATTAGGTATCTCATACTACGCAACTTTATGTACCAGAGTAAGTTTCAAAGAGTAAGCTACTAAACTTAATGGTATTTACTTGAAGAAAGAGCAAAACAAATATCATATCAAAAAACTAAGTGTGTGGTGCATCGGTTTAAGAAAATTCTTTAAAAAATAAGTGAATAGATCAAATACAAACCCTTACATCAATTTTAAAAGTATCAATCATTCATTTCAAAACCAATATACTTACGTAAAATTTTAGTGGAGGTAAAATTGATAGCATGTCAATATTCTAGAAGATAAATTGAAACCTGCTTTTGATAGATTTAACTATATTAGATCCAATATTGAAGAGAATGGGGATATTGATGACAGAAAAAAAAGTTAAGTTGTTAAACATAACTTGAAGGTGATTTTTTATAAATTTCAGCTTATATAGTTAAATCTGTATTCTCTTCAATCCTCTTATCATATAGTATTCCAGAACACCTAATTTATTTATACAGATTCCCATGTGTTAAAAAAAGCTTCGGTGCAAAATTTCAGCTGATGGACATATTGACATAAGACAATATTATGACTCTAGTATTACCATCTAAAAGTAAAGACAAGACATCCATCATTAATAACTGCTACATGTTTAAGCATACTTCCAAACTTTAGTTAGCTTTATGCATCATCGGAAGAAGATGTAATCCAACTATAAGTAAGTCAATGATCTGCAAACATTGTGAAGTGCGCCTTTGTAATGGCATCGTGCATGAAAAGAACAGAGTGATGCAAACATAATGGCCAACAAATATATTGTTCAAGCTCCTTCTTGCTTTTGTTTTTGAAAATATCAGCTTGAAAATCAACAAAGACATCAAATTATATGATTCCTACATTCAAGCAAACCTAAAAAATATAATAGAAACAGGGAAAATACATGCAAATGAACATGACTCACAAGGTGCTTTGCAGACAAATTCTTCTGTAGGGCTTTCATATCTCCCTGGAATCCAGAAGATGCCAATACACATTTGTCAGCTCTGCAAACAAATATATAATGATATCATCAATCCAAAGAGAATGCCATCAAATAACAGGAAATACTACCGCAACAACTCATGACACAATAACGCATCCTCATGTAAAACCATAAAACAATAAACCAAGACGTATTAGACCCACTGCCACCTAACACTCTGTTCGATACATAGATAAAAGAAAAAAAAAAAAGAGCCTGAAATGTTCGAAAGTCTCTTCCTTAGGATTTCTCAACATAATATCAAACTAAAACTTAGATTAAGCCCGCTCGATAACCACCCACCTCAACAGCTTAATTTGCATAAACCCTAATGAAATCAGACAATAAAGGAAGCCCCGGTAAATTTATGCAGAAACTTAATCACACCGATATTACAAATAAGAAAACGGACAAGGAACTGTAGACGCAATAAGAGGAGATGGGAGTAGAAACAGGGGTGAGAGATCGCACAGCTTGCAGATCTTGGAGTAGTCGCGGGTGTATATGCTGTATCCAACGGAAAGACGCGTGTCGGCGGCCACTACACAGTAATCCGATCCGGCGATCGCCACGCATGTACTGAAAGATCACGTAATGCAATACAGCGATCAAAGACTATTGATAGATCGTCACAGAGCGGAGAAGGAACAAAGAAAATAGATTATAGAACTGTACCCTCCATTGTTCTCGTAAACCCAGTCACCTCTCAGAGCCATCTTTCTTGCGGGAAATGGAGCGGCGGGAGCAAAGCTTTTGAGGCACAGATCTGCTTGATCGTTCGCTTTTCCTTCTCCCCCAAGTCTGATAGAAGGTCGGAAAAGCTAGCTCGGGTGGATAACGGGTCAAAACGTGTCGGATTCACCTGCTATTAAAGCAAGTTATGTTGCGAGCATGTTTATTGTAGGCTTTGCAGAACAATTTTCACCATCGGCAAATTAATTATTAGATTTGTGCCCTTCTGATGAACCAAAGGGTTAGCAATGCAATATATTAATTGACAAATGAAAATTTGAATTGATCCTCGAGGAATCTAAAACTAATGAAATTCGGTTTATTGATTTCTAGCAAAAGATATTGATCCATAAATTATATAATTTAGTAAACTTCTTAATGAGGCATAAACATCAAAAGGTTTCTTAAATATATGAACAACAATAAGTATTTATTTCACTATTGATATGTTATCATGAAATTATCTTGATCGGGCACGAATCTCAAAGCAACATCAAGCCAGAAACTTCAAAAATTAAATTCGAGAGCATCTGAACTCTGATTTCAACAAACTTATAGTCAAACTGAGCGTCTCGGAAATACGAACCCAACGACACCAAATTCAACTCAATTCGAGCCCGAATGAGTCCAAATCAAGGACCCGAAGTGCTGTTGAAAAGTTTGTACCACAATTTGAGTTATCAAACGATCTTCGAACTTGACGAGCTTATAGTTGAATAGAGCGGCTCGATGAGAAAAATCCAACGAGCCCAAGATCGTCGAATTCCGACATCATTAAGACCTTCAAATGTCTGATAAACGGTCCATGATCGTAGGATTCAATATCGGTCGTTCATCTGAACCACTCCATATTCGCCCCTGGTCTCTCATCTATTTACGGGTCATGCCGCTCCATAAAATCTATAAATAAACCCCTCATTTCTCATGAGAAGGGACCGAAGAAGGAAGAGGAGGAGGAGAAGAGAAGAGTAGGAGAGAAGAGACTCCTCCTCGACCACTGCCGGAGTTCTGCCTGAACTCCAAATGACGCCGAAATTATGCCCGACTTCTACGGGACGCCATAATTCTGCCTGACTTCTATGGGATGCTAACATTCTGCCCAATTAACAACAAAGTTCCCCCCTGATGCCGAAACTCTGCCCAAGTGATACCGGTGTTCTTCTCGACCACCAACAGACGTCGGACTTCTACCCAACGCCAGACCTTCACTCATTGCTAAGTTTCTACCCGATGCTGGACTTCTACCGGTTATCGGACTTTCGTTGGACATCTATCCGAAAATGGATTTCTTTCCATTGTTGGACTTCTACCTGGCGTCGTCCTTCTGACCTTTGTCATCAGACAATAGTCCTTCTAACTTACGTCGTCCGCAGACTACAGCCTTTCTGACATCCGTCAACAGACAATGGTCCTCCCGACCAAACGAACATGTCAATAGTGTTTCTTTGTATTCACATCATGTAATGTACTCTATAAAATGTACATCAAGCTAAGGTCTTCTACCAAGGAAGGGCTTCATTTGTAATCAACTGCAATACTAGATTACTAGTGGATTCATTCAAAATGGGCTAGGCCCCGTGGTTTTTCCCCTTTTCAGTGGGTTTCCACGTAAAAAACTTGGTGTCTTCTAAATGCTAGACCTTCTCTCTTATCTGATTGCGTGCCGGATTTTCGTACAATGCTAAGACTCTAAATTTTATATTTCTCTACCGCCGTGAATACTCCTGGACGCAACAACTATAAAGGGTTGGCTAGATGAATCTTTTTTTTTTTCATGGTGCCCTATAAAAACCAAATTCTCATTTAAGGCTTCATTTGGAACAGCTTTTTTACTGCGTCTTAAAGCAAATTTTTATTTAAAAATTAAATTTGTATACTAAAAAGATATTCTAAGAACAATAAGAAAGTTATCTCAAACAAAGCCTAAATCTAATAAAAACTTATTTTCAATACTTTCTTACAAATATTTTTTTTAGGTATGCCTCTACTTTTTTGTAACATGAATCAAAATCTAATACATTTGCTCTCTTAACAAGGTCATCAAAAAGCTAATATTTTATTTGATCAAATCAACTAATACGACTCTTTAATTTTATCTATCACTGGAGCTACTATATCTTTTCACATATATATACTCATTTTAAATTATATATATATATATATATATATTTTTTAATATTTTATACACTTTAAAACTATTTTTCTAATTAAAAAAATATAAATTTATTAAATATTATTCTTTTCAATATTTATAACTAAAACACTAAACAAACTACATGAACACATAAAAATTCTAATTTTGCTTTTTGTTACTATTTGATAATAATATATTAAATAAATAGCTATATTAATAGATTATATATATAATTAATTAAACTCAAATAAAACTAAATGAAAGCTCAAAGCCAATAACAAATTTCTAAAACTCAGGTCATATTCAAGCCCATATTGAGCTCAATAAGAAAATAAAAAAGCTAGCTTGAACCCTAAACAGTAAACTAAACTCCTAATTTGGAGTCCTATGTACATCCTATCACCAGCAACAAAGAGGTGATTAGCTAAAGGAAAGAAAAAAAAAAAGAACTGAGGACAATAAGCACATCACAATTTACTGGTTCTCAATTATAGTTAGCTATCAGCAGAGTCAAATTCAAATAACAAGTCAGAGTCATCCTCAATGAAGCAACCCCTGATGTCCTGAGGGCTGAGACTTTTCGCCTTGTTTGGTCTGTAATAAGGGCTGTCCTTCCCAATCAATAGATGCAGCTCTGAGCCTGTTCTCTTTCTCATTTTCAATGGCTGGTCACTCTTTGAGGCGAGGGGCTGCTTGCTTCCTCCAGGTTCAGGTGAACTATGAAGGCAAGCCAAAAAGCCTAATCTCCTTGAACTAGGCATGCACTTCATTATTCTTGAAAGAGATTTGTCTGTATTGTTCACATTATTCAGCTTATATTGACCTGTTTGATTGCTGGCTTTTGAACTCACTTGGTTTTGTGAGGCTAGGCGATTCTCCTTGTCTTCTTCTGAAATTTAATCAAACTTGAATGGTCATTACTTGAACAAAATTTTATCAGATCACCAAGATGCAATTTGTATCAAGATGATAGGAACAAATATTCAGAACTACAACATAAATACTAAAAGTTTGAAAACTTCTATGTTTTTTGCTAAGATAATTAATCCAAGGTGCTATTTTTTATGTGTTTAAGGCTTCGTTTGGGACAGCTTTCTTACTGCTTCATAAAGCAGCTTTCTAGTATAAAAATTAAAAATTTTATACTAAAAAGCTGTTTTAAGAGCATAAAGAAAGTCGTCCCAAACAAAGCCTAAATATCTTCTAACTGTAAGCATTTGTCATATCATTTGGATATAATTTTTTCATATTAATTTATAAAATAATATATATGATGGAATTTGATCCAAATATAAAAAAAATCAAAGCTGAATAATAGACAATGCACAAGAAAAGAATATATGAAAAGCTAGATGTTAACTGGAAATTTGAATTTCTTAACGATAACTTTGGATGATGAAAACCTACCCAGGGGCTCTGGGCTGAAAATATGACTGAGAAGTTGATCTGAGTCAGGTTCTTTGGAAGATTGTGTTCCAGAACAGCTAGGCAGAGAATCCAAAGCACCACTCGTGCTCAAGTTGTCAGGCGACCGTTGAGTTACAGGATCTTCTCCCTGCAGCTCGTCAATTGGAAAATCTGCAGAAGTACTAGCATGTGGGCTTGAAACTTCGTCTTTTTCAAATATTTCTCTAACTGCTTCGACTGAGATGCTGCTGCTAGGCTCTCTGACAGAAGATGAAGTTTCATCGTTATCCTCACAATCCAGCACAGATGATGGCGAGCCATTCCTATCCATGTTTGATTGGTAAATCTTCTGAGACTCCATTAAGCTTTTAAACCAGGGAGATGAACCCTTCTTCATATAGAAGAGTATATAAGCTTCTTCATCTAGCACATTACTTTCTGATATCGGATCTAGCTAAAAGAACATCAAAAGAACAAAAAAAAAATGTGAAGAACATGAATGAGAACATTGATAGATTAAAGCACATATCATTATATTACTTCTTACCAACGAGTCATTCATTTGATACCAAGTAGTTGGGGAGGTGCGGATATTGCAGTAGTAATGACCAAAATAACAGGAACCACTATGCACTACAATGCCATATAGCTCATATATTAATTGCTCCTGTAATTAAAGCATTCTAGATCAGGATTTTTTTTTATTGATCTGTATAACCCTATAGAACAAAAAAAAAAAAAAAAAGCTTACAAAAAAAAAAAAAAAAAAGAGCTTACATTTTCTCGGGGTGAGCTCAGGAAAGGCATCAAGTCCAACTCCAACGGATATTTCACAAATTTGCAGATCTTGAGAACAGAATGACCAGTATTTGTGAATCTCTTGAGATGCAGTGCGATGACATTTGGAGGTTGCTCAATTTTGAGTTGTTTCTCCATGGAAACTTGAGCCTTGCAACCTTCACAGGTGAACTTGATATCAGGATCATCGATCATTTCTGTCTTGGTGAAAGACTCCAGAGCCTCGGTGAGATTATCTACATCATCAATCTCTAAGCTGAGATCAACAATAGGTTCATATGTATCTGAACAATGACCACATTCAAGGCACCGCAACTGAAACCAATCAAACAGTAAATAACTGAACAAAACAATCACTTGAAAATATTTTTTAAAAAAAGAAGAAGAAGAAAAAGCACATAATAAGTTTGAAGGGGAGTCTACAATCCGCCATACCTGACTTCGGAGACAACCTCCAAATACTTGATTAACAGGACTTTCTTCTCTAGATGACAAGAACTGATGATCTTTGTAGATGGGTTTCAGATAGCTAGTATGAATACTATCCAAAAGGCAACTGAGAAACTCTTGTGCATCTTGCTGTTCTCCAGGCTGGAAGAAAGATGAGATTTCTGATGGTTTATTAGGTCAAGAAATTACACTTAGTAGGCTACTTATGCTTCCTTTACACACCACCCATGAATGTATAAAGCAACATAGAAGTTCAAAATGTTCAAAAACAGCTTTTTTTGTAATCAATAACAGAAGCACCAAAAATGACATGAATAACGGGAATTTATATGAATACCACTAAATTTTGACTATCATATATATAATATATAAATTATCCAAATTTACCTATACAACACAAAAATCTGTTTAAAACAAGAAAAATATCACTCAACCAAAGTCCAATTAAGTATATTAAGATTCATTTATTGCAGCTATCTTCTCTCTGTGTCGAACAACAACCACATGCAAGCTTCCCACGCCTGACGGGGTAGAAGATGGCATCTATAAACAAAATTCAGACGACTCTAATATGAAATTTTTGATAGCAAATGATATTTTGGATAGAGAGTGATCAAGGATACTGCTTAAATTATAGGCAAAACTTCTGGGAGTGATAACAAATCCTGACTTCATTATGCTTTCAGCAACATGGTTCCTCAATGCACAAAAAGAACAAAATTCTCCATCTTTATCTGCAAATCCTGACCAAAAAAAGTAAGTATAAAAACAGAAAAATCTATAATAGGGAGCAGTAAAACCAGATAATAAAAATAGAAATCAAGTGAAGTATCAAACCAGAACACGCAGGGCTGTGACTATCGGTACGTAACTTCTCCACCAGCGGAACCGTGTGTGTGATGCACTGAAGAACGGCATTCATAAAACAAGTATTCCCCATATTATGAAGCGTTGCCCCCTGTACAAAAGACAGATAAAGGTACTAAGCGATATTTTTTACCCAATACCAGAAAAGATAGGCCTCTTCGATATGGAAGCAATTAGGGATTCTCACCACGAGATGGGCCTGAAATCTCGATTTAGGCGGAGAAATATTAGTGCTTTCCAACATCTCCGTTTCCTGCCCCTACAAAAACGAAGACCCGGACAAACCTAATTGATTAAACATATAAAACCACAATAAACTTTCCGAAAAACCAGCACAATCCCATAAACGCGTACGATCTGTGGACAAGGCAAGGCGAGGATCGGCGCTTCCATCGCTAGCTAGGGTTCCGTTCCGCAAATCCAGCGTATCTAAGATTGGTCGATAAAGACGACGGGTATTTCCACGATCAGTAGAAGTGGAGACGTGCAGTAACGGAGTAACCGTTCAGTAACCGTTCAAGAGATGGGAAGGGCTAGGGTTAGGGTTTTGTCCAAATTGTGAAATTCAGAAGTAGGGAGAATTCGCGGGTTTTTGAAAGAGAGGGCGCGCCAGAAGGGATTTATTTTGGAGGAAATGAAGCCGCCTTCTTTCGATCCCGCGGTTTCCGAATTTCACATTTGTTTAAAACTATACATTTTCTGATAAATTATAGCAAAACATTTGCATAAACCATATTCCGTTCAATTTAAGTGGTGAAATATCAAACATAAAAATGAAAAAAAAAAAAACGTAAATAATATCATATATATATATATATAACCAAAATTTTTTTATTAAAAAATTATTTTCAGAAGCAGTAAGAAAATTGCTCCAAACAAATTCTTAAACTTTGACTTTGTTTGTAATGGCTTTCTTACCGCTTCTTAAATGAGCTTTTTTGTACAAAATTTTTAAATTTTTATTAAAAATGTGTTTTTAAAAGGCCAAATTATTAAAAGGTGCACTAATAAAATTTTAATTTGCATAAAGATCGTGAGAGGGAACAAATTTAAAAAGGAGTGAAAACGGAGGACAATAATCCGGTTTTTTGAGAAACCGGATCATAAAAATCCGGTTTCTTGAGAAACCATATTTTCATCCTCCGATTTCCATATAAACCGCACTATATTATCGTCTAATTAATGGTGATTAAGTTAATAAGCCGGTTTCTTGAGAAACCGGATCATTAAAATCCGGTTTTCGTATAAACATACTTTACAAAACATTGCGAAAGTTATCCCAAATAAAACCTTAATCTATTTTCTAAGTAGATCAATCCAAGTCATTTAACAATCCTAACCGTTTATCAACCCCACCCAACATGGTCCCTTTATAGTGTCAAATTACGTCACGCACAATATCTACATAATTGGGGTGTTCACATAGGCATATCATTATACTATAATATTCTTTCACCATTATGAAATCAATTGAAAACATGCACAACAAGTTTAGCCTAAAGTCCAACAAGTCATTAGGAAAGTTATCAATGAATTTAATACCTGAAAAAATATAATAAAATCAAATCATACCAAGAAATAGAATTATGTTAGACCATTGACATCTAATAATTCAAGAAATCAACAAATAAACTTAATCTCTGATCACAATGTAAATATAATTGCACATATTCAGGCTTTGTTCGGGACAATTTAGTTATTTTTTTTAAGACAGCTTTTTATTATAATTTTTTTTTGAAAGCAACAAAGAAGCAGTGGTCAAAAGCTGTTCCAAACGACGTCTTAGTCATCTAAATTATAAGTCTTATGCAGTAATAGTTGTAGAAGCAAGGCTAAGTGTCAAATTCATAATTGACATGTAGGAAATCATATTAAAGAAAATAAGCCAGATTACATTAAGAGAATCAAGCACATAAATAATAATTAGGATCAAACTATGCTAAGTGTCAGTATAATTATTCTTTATTACTATCCAAAAAAATTATAAATCTTTTTTTTTTATTGATTACTTTCAGAAAAATCATAGCTCTTATGATTGATATTTGTAAATATCAAGTTAGGATAAGGCACAAATTATCATACATTTATAGAATAATAATTATATGTGATTTATAATAACACTTATATAACATATTAATATTTTTGAAATGCTTGCAAATCAACATAATCAAATTCATGAATAGTGTTTGAATATTTTTGCATGACTCAAATGGTTCTACTTATTTGTATAAACCAAGTGGTACAATTAAGATAAAATTATAGCTTGTATGTTATATTATGATTTTTATATAGTGTAGAATAAGCACTTAATCATCCATGGTTATAAAGTTAATGCATTTTGCTAGCTGAACTTGCATTAATGATGAATCTTTAGAGGGTCTTTACTAGTAAGGTGCATGCATGTAAGATCTTATATTGGTTAGGCGTATCTCATAAATGACTTTCAAAGAGTCTTTATTAGTATGATATTTCACAAAGAACTTAATATCTTTTCATAGAGCATTTATCTTATTTGTAGGGTCTAATTGCTTTCTAGAGGGTCATTAAATGTTTCCCTGATATATTGCTAAAATATCTCAAATGAATAAAATGAATAAAAATAGTCACCCTAAACTTGTCAAGTAATTTTAAAAAATAGACCAAATTTATATTGCCCATAGGATTTGAAGCCTTAAAATCCCCAAACATCTAAAGGAAAAACTACTCAACATATGTATAGGGCATGATATCCCAACCAAATTAAGTTCTGACCAACTTTCATTTACAATTATACATGCTAAACACTTGCATAGTATGACCAACCTTATCAAACTTCACATAATCAAATGACATTTTATGATGAAACAAATAATATGAATCACTATATATATGAAAGAATGTGAACTAACATTTTTTTTAAAAATAAGCAACCTAACTAATATAACAAATATTTGACATTATGTTTTTACAAATGAATGTTCATCAAAATTCTCAACATTTAATTAGCATTGGTCTAACAAACAAAGGAGCATGATATATCATAAGTTAGTAAAATGTAAAACATATGCAAATTCTCAAAAACTCATCAAAGCAACCCATGTCATGTCATGTAATCATAATGATCATGTGGTCATAAGATCATTTTCGTATGTTCGTGGATGACTTACATGCTATTGAGAAAGACTTGTCAAACACTTTATGCATCACATTTGTTAAACACCACATATAATAAAATGTAACATTGGTCTTATTCAAGCTTGTCATGCAACTTTCTACAAAAATATTGAGTATGTTAATTACTTTGTGATGTCATACAGTATAAAACAATAACTAACATGATATGCATGAGACATTCATAACAACAATATATAGATGATCGCCAACTAAATGCAATGTCAATGAGAATATTGTATATCTTATAAACAAGTGACCATAAATACTAACACATAATAGAAGATAACATATTGTGTCATATGTACACTTATACTATATAAATAATTTTCACAATTGATGTTTGTTAAAATTTGTGTGTTGCATATACTACAAGAAATTCAGTTGTTTCTGGCGGACTTACCACCAGAAACTAGTCAAAATCCGTTGGTAAATAGGATTGCTAGTAGATTTATGATGGATTTTGAGCTTCCAAAAATGATGTTCTTTGTGGAGTTTTCCGCTAAAATTTCACTATAATTTACAGCAAATTTGTAGATGAAATTTACCTCGATTTGGCAATGTCCCCCATAAATAACAGCAAAAATTTCCTACGCAAATCCAATGTAAGTTACGAAGAAAAGTTTAAGCCGAAAATGTTATGGAAGTTTGTTGCATTGTTATTTCCGACGAATAATCCACCAGAAACCCGTAGCATAAAAAAAAAAAAGCATCTCGTGTCATGAATCTAGTCATGACAACTCTACTTACATATCATAGGGTCTTCGACCCCAATAAGTCATCTTAGGGACTATGATATTATTATCTCAAGGAAGATAAATTTAAGAGTATCATATGACTACTTTTCATCTCTTTCTAGGTGTTATAGATTTATAAGACCTCAAATCTTCTTCTTATATCCTATGTTTTGTGATAAGATATTTGAAATTTTTTATTTATATTATGAACCAAAAATTTGATTAATCTTAGCTAGTTTTTCATTTGATGCTCTCATCAAACTTTGATATTCTTATACATAATTTAAGTTTGATATATTTTGATACTCTCTATCATTTTTCCTATCTTAACCACCATTAATGACATTTCTTAATTGCGAGTGCTCTCAAAGTATCATACTTTGGAGTGCAATTAACCATAGCTGCCATCATTAATATGCCCAATCACTCTCGTTCTCGCCTTTGAACAACTCGCATGCATCGTCGTCGCTCATCCCAACTCACATGGTCGACCTCTCATCATATCTACTCCATGGGCAGGTGAAATCTTCCTCAAATAAAAAATTATCCATGTGAAATGTTGATCTAAATAAGCTATTTCATTTGAAATAGTCATGTTATATTCCTTATTATTTTCATAAATCATGATTGAAAAAATTGATATATCATCAAAAAATTATCTTGATCAGGCAGGAATATCTATACAAATATGAATCATAACTTTCAAAATTACATTCGGGACTATCTAAGTTTTGATTTCATCAAACTAATAGTCAAATTGATTGTCTCATGGAGACGAACCCAATGACACCGAGTTCAGTCCAATCCAAGCCCAAATGAGCCCAAAACAAAGGATCAAAGCCTACTTGAAAGCTTCGGAGCATTAATTAGATGACCAAATGATATTTGAATGAGACGTGAGACGAGACGAATCCAACGAGCCCAAGATTGCTGAATTCTAACATTACTAAGGCACTTAAATGCTCAATAAACGATCCATGATCAGGGGAGTTGATATCGGCCATCCATTAGACCACTCCCAACTTACCCTTGATCTTCTCCCTATTTACTAACAATGTTGCTCACAAAAAATTATAAATATATCCATCATTCTTCAAATGACGAGGGGAGGAGAAAAAAGGAGGAGAGAAGGATAAAAAATAAAGAGCTCTCTCACATTTTCAAGCTATCGTTGCTGTCGACGACCATTGGCAACTACCATCATCACCAACAATCGATATTAGAAATCGCAAATATCTTTAGAACACTGTCAAGATTTAACCCTATTATTGGATAAAAAAATTTGATATTTGCACTTTCCTCTTCTTCAACAGTGAATAAATGAGGATTTTTATATCACTTGTGACATATTGAATTCTGCAGCTGATCCAGGCTTCGTGGTTTTTCTCTTTCTGGATTTTTCACTTAAAAAATCTCGTCTTATCCTTTTTATCTATTTGTGCTGAATTTTTATGCACTGCTAAGATGTGAAATATAATTTCTATCGACTCAAAGTTTTTGGCACGTAATAATGTTTAACCTACATGTTATTTTAACCTACATGTTACTTTCTGAAGCACTTTTTAGTATAAAAAGTTTCAATTTAAAGAAATTTTTTTTTTGCATATTTTTGAATTGAAAAATTTTCAATGTATATTACAAAAATTTCTTGAATTGAAAATTTTTATACTAAAAAGCTGCTTCAAAAAGTTGTCTCAAACGAAGCCTTAGGCTTTGACTCATAGTGGAATTCCATCGTGGTAATGAGAGATCTTCGAATAAGCATCCTTAACTTGACAAATAAGGATTTGATATTCATATTCCTCCA